GGCACCCCGGGGCCCGCCTCGGCGCCCTCCTTCTCCCCCCTTCCTGCGCCGGCAGCTGCCTGGTGCCGAGGCCGGCTAGCCTGGCAAGGCGGAGGAGCCGCTGGATGCCGATGTTTGGTCCTGGCCGTACCCATCCTGGCTGCACCGGGGAGAGCTGCCGGCGCCGGCAGCGGTGCCGCAGGCAGGCAGCTGCCCTCAAGGGCCAGCCCCAGAGCTCCTGCTTGCCGGTGATTGCCAAGGTGTTGCGGGCACGACTAAAGCTTCCTGTCCCCAAGGCCGCCTGGCGGCTCTTTGCCGGCGATCGCTCCTGCCCCGGTGCTGCCCGGGGGATGCCCTGCCTCCTGCCCACCTTGGCGGTGGTGGGGCGCAGGTACCGGGGTGGCCCCAGCTGGGACCCCCAGGCAGCACCCGCCGTGCCACCCTGCCAAGCAGCGAGCCTGGCTGGCTGTGGCTGGGGTCACCCCACCGCTGCGGGTGTGCAGCACTTATCCCTGCTGGCCCCAAGTACGGGCAGCCCCCCAGAAAATATTTACATGCAAGGAAGAGGCGGGGGTGTCAGAGCTGCGGTGCAGGCTCCTGGGATCCCCTTTGAGCATTTATTTTGGAGGGATTTTCCCCGCCTCTGGTTTTCCAGCAAGCAGCAGGGTGGGACTGGCAGGGGGGTGCTGCGCACTGCTACGGGGCACCAGCCTGGTGGCAGTTTCATGGGGAGACCGTGGCCTGGGGACCCGGGCCTGGGGCATTTGGGGCCGCTGGCTCCCAGGGATGGAGGACAGACGTTCCTGGCATGTCAACGCTGAGCCATGCAGCCATCCCCAGGGACCTCCAGCTGTTCAGCCTCGGGACTGAATGATGCAGGCAAGTGCCTGGCTTGGCCCAGCTGAGTCCTGAATCGGCCCCCCCCCCGGGATGGATACCCTCCACCTCCCTGGGGACCTGTCTGGGGCAGAAGAGTTCCCCACGTCCAACCTAAACCCCCCTGGGCTGTGACCTGGGGCCAGGGCCCTTGGTTGTGTTGCCTGTTGCTGACGAGAAGGATTTGGCCTCATCCATCCCCTCCATCCCTGCCTGTGCTGTGGTTGGGGGCTGCTCTCAGACACCCTCCCCTCCCCACGGACAGACCCAACAAGCCCAGCTCCCTCCCTTCTCCTCGTGGGTTGGGCTCTATAATCCCCAACCCACTAGGCAGCCACCGTGGGAGGGTCCCTGTTGTCCTTCGTGCAGCCCAGGATGCAGCTCCACCATCACCCTGGGGCCCTGCCAGCAGCGCTGCCCAGCCGGTGGCTCCTGCCTGCCCCGATGTCTTGGCTGACCCCAGCACTGCCCTGCCTTCACAGTGCCACTGGTCCTTGAGGAGCTCTCAAGCAAGGAGGAGGACAAACGTCGACGACTAAGGGGTGTGCGGGAAGCACTGTCACCACAAGCGTGTCAGGCCAGCAGGAAGGAGGGGACAGCAGGGGATGTCCCACCACCTCCTCGGGCTGTTCCAGCTGAGGGAGAGGAGCCAGGCCACCGGCATCTCCCTGGGGAGTGACTGCTCTACTTGGACCCCTTCATCAGCTCCAGAATGCTGCTGTAGAGGCGCCTGGGGGCATCCAAGCCCCAGATGAAGTCCCAGTGGTTCCAGTCGGGGATGTGGCCGTAGGTGATGAGATGGGTGATGCGGGGCAGCAGCAGGCGGACATCCCTCGAGTCAATTGCCCAGTCCTGCCCCCCCGACCACACCGCGGTGGGCACGGGCATTTCCTCCACCTGGTAGGAGGGAGGTGTCTCCTGGAGGGACACAGCGGGCACTGAGGAACTGCTGTCGTGGTCAACCCCAGCAAGCCAGTCTGTCCCTGCAACACCCAGGACAGTCCCCTGGCTTCTCCAGCCGCCAGCACTGCTGCTGCAGCCTCCTACCTGGTGGTACATGGCTGGGTTTTCGCTGCCATAGTCGAAAGCTTTGAATTCTCCTGATTTCATCACCTGGGAGGAGAGGATAGATCTGCGGTGGGAGGCCAGCGAGCACTACTGCATGGGTCCAGCGTCTCCCGACCGCCTCAAGGGACCACATAATGAAAGGGTGCTCACATGGGACATTGCAGGAGGAGGTGGCATCCCTGCAAAGCCAGACTTTCCACCTTTTTTAACAGGATGATGCTTTGACCTCTAGCTCCACGCCTGTCCCTATCTGTGGGTTGACAAACTAAGGTGTTGCATGCGACTTCTTGGCTGCCCCAGTGCAATGCTTGTGCCTCTGAAAACCTGCTCATCACCAGCTGTGTGTGCAGGATGCTGCTGGAGGACTTCACGTTGGCGAGTTTTCCTTCAACAACCTGATCATCCTTACCTTCTCATGACACTTCGGGCTCAGAGTACAGAGACATCAGTGAGCCCAGTTATTATAAGAGTTGCTTCTATGCTAGTGGAGAAAGCTCAGATACCTGCACAATAATTGCATTGACTAAAAAGACCTTTTTCGCCTTCCTTGTTACCTATAATTCAGCTCTGCAAGGAGGCACCAGGTTGAGGGTCAAGCAGGGCCAATGCCACAGCTGCAGCAGGTTGCTCAGACTGGCAGAGTCTGGCCCCAGTGTCTCCAAGACCCCTCTGGGCAGCGGGAGATGCTGTTGGATTCCCCTTCGCCTCCTCTTCTCTGGCTGAGCAAGCCCAGCTCCCCCAGCCTCTCTATATGCTCTGGCTTCCAGCCACCATCACCATGGTGTCCCCAGGCTCACTCTGCTTTGGGGATCCCTGGGAGCCCCAAACTGGTCCCAGCATCCAGCTGTGGCCTCCCCATCCCTTCCCTCATCCTGCCTGGCACAGCCCAGGGCGCACACCCCAGTGTCCCCCGGTCCTCAGAGGGACTAGGGCAGCTCATCCTGCATTCAGCGCCTCTTCTGTACACCTAATTTCTTGCCTTTACTTTCTCATGAACAGCTAACGTCCAAGATCCCCAACCTCTCACATCGTCCCTGGACATACCAGACTCTCAGTGAAGGGACCATCCCAGGGGTGAAGCATCTGCATTTCAGGGAACCTACCTGGGCCCAGTGTATCATGTTTTTGACAGACGTCCCATCTGGATAGTGGGATGTGTACACATCCAGCCGTGTCTACAAGGAAACATATTCAAGCTATCATTGCTTTCCAATGGATGGGAGCGAGGACAGCAGTTGCCAGATGATGCATTTCCCAAAACAGCCACTGCTGAGTCACGCTGCCTAGAGAGTTGGGTCAGGTTCAGGAACATAATTTTCATTAAAAATCAATTGCTCTGAGACAGCTCCAGGAGGAGAATGGTGATGAAGGATGGGGTACCCCTAGCTCCTGGAGATACCTCATCTGGGCTCAGGGACTGTGCTCAAGACCTTCGTGACTACCTGTGGTCACCCAGATGCTGCTTCAGCAGACTTGATGTAGGGTGGGTGGGAGCAGGGGCTGAACCCCAGGGGTGCTGGTGGGAGGTATAGCTGGTCTTGGTGACAGGCAGCCCTAACTCAGAGATGCTACCAAGTGCCACCTGGCCACTGACATTCACTCAGGAGAGCCTGGGGACTTCTCCTGTCTGGGGAGGAGAAGTAGCGAGAGAGAGCTTTGGCAGAGGGACATGTGTTGGCTTTGGAGCACCTGCTTGCCTGTGAGCACTGGGTGTGAGCAGCTGTAGCAGGCTGGGCAGGGTGTTTGGCAGAGAGGGGACAGACAGCAGGCAGGGGGGTCGGCAGAGCCAGTGGGTGCTGCTGGGTGCTCCCAAGCGGCGCACCCTGGGGCTCCAGCTCCCTCGCCCCCACACAGGGCAGCACACCCACCATATTGAGGTTCTTCTCATTGTAGCCGCCCAGCAGAAAGAAGAGGTTGGCACAGGGCTTGTGCAGCAGTGGGTGCCTGCACAGCTCGGGAAGAAACCTCCACAGCTTTCTCATCCACAGTGAGGCGTCCGTTCTGCCAAGCAGAAGCTGCAGAAGCAAAGGGCAAGGTTGATTTCTCGCATCTTCCTGCAGCCTAGCCCTCGGACTGCCTCCCCTGACCCACTGCTGGCCGGCATCTCTGTGAGCTGTCTCACCAGCTGGGCAGTGAGGGGATGTGCGGCACAGGGTGCCCACAGGAGTCAAACCTGCTTCTCCTTTGCCCTCCTGCCTCACTGAGATGTGCACAGCTGATTGCAGGAGGTGATGCTGATTGAATGCACACCAGGGAAATCAATATGCGGGACTCTCCTCTTTCCCCCCACCTCCCCCCAAGCATTGGATTCATTTTTCACTGTCTTTAACATCAACACAGTAAAGCTGCTCTTTTCCAGGCAGTCTGTCTGGGAATTCAACAAGTGCCCCCATAGAAAGACCACTTTCAACACCTGAAGATCCTACAGATGGAAGGAAGATGCGCTCACCAAAGTGACCATGCAGGAGTGCACTTGCACAGAATCATGTCTGTGCTTATAAATCAGCAGGA